TTAAAATGTTAATAAAAAAGGTTAATTGTTTTTGTTTTCAAGAAAAATCATAAAAGCTTTGTTAATATGAACCTGTGCGTATTGTGCCACTTGTAAAACTGGTGTGTGGTGGTTGATTTATCTGTTTAGATTACTGTCACAGATTGTTGGAGACTGCACTCCTGGTGAATCAGGAGACGGTGGATATTTGAGACCGACCAATCGTGGTTCAGAGCTTGACACAACTTTCAGAGGCCCATGACATCACCCAGTCACAAAGGTTTTTCACTTATTTTTCTGGGCTTCATATCAGTACAACATAAAAATCCACTGTAAACTGAAGAATACAAGATGCAAGTAAACATGTTAGTTGTAATTAGAATTAAGGAAATATAAAACGTAATGAGAATATACAAAACATAAAATTCACATTCACACTTTGTCAGGCCTTGGCTTGCCCGTGGTGATGTTGCTGTGCCAATACTAATAACATCTTAGCGACTGTCACCAGTAAAGTATGAGGGATTGAACATCAATGCAGCATTTTAACATTTTTATAATCTCATGGATCATGTTCTAATGTTTTGTTTTGTTTTTCAGCTGTGATACTTTGTATTATTGCTTGATAAAATGGCACATAGGCTTGATTTCCAAAATGAACTCTACAAAGATGAGTTGTGGTAACATCTTAAAGACAAACGGCAAAATAATGAAATACAGCAAACATCTCGACTTTGGCAAATGTAACTTTCAAAAAATACTTTTAATACATTGTAGTGGATGATAGATAAGCATAAAAGCATTTAATTATTAAAAAAAATTAACCAAAAATAAATAAATCTTACAATTGTGCTACAAGTGCCACTACCTCCTTGGCACTTGAAGCCACAATTGAGGGAGTGCTTTCAACCTAGAAAATTAAGGGAGAAGGGAGCAGCTCCACAAATTGGTGCCTTGGCTTGTTCCATGCATCCCCTAAAGGGTGACAGTGATGAAGCAAGACCATCTACCATTGTGGATTTTCCCCGACTCCCTTTTTCCTCTGTTAAGTGAAACATTCTTAGCAGCCATCTCTTTCATGCAGGTTACCAAGGTCAATCTGAATGCCTTATCATCAACACTAGAAATGTATATACAAAGAATGCACTTTATTTCTTTTTTTTAAGACTTGGGTAAAACCCCAGCTTTTTATCCTTGCGTAACAACTTGGCCACACTGCTCCAACTTTCAGAGACTTTCACTAGCCAGTCAAATCACCAGTCTAAACCCACATATGACACACTAACTGTATACATAAATCCAATTTAATTGAGCCTTTAGCATGTGCAAAAGTTTTAGCATGTGCAAAACTTGCGGCATGATCAGTGACTGGCCAACGGGTTAGTTAAACACAAGCAGTGATCATGGTGTTCTTGCACTCGCTTGCAATTTTAGCATTGCAATAAGGCTCTCTTCAATCTGGCAACAATACATGCACCTAATACATGAAATCCCAATCCCATGCTAACTGCATTCTGAATAATAAGATAAGGATTTTCAAGGCAGTTGCACTACAGAATAAGAATAACACTCATAGCAAAAGACCTTGAGTACATCAAACACTGTTCAAATCTGGATCTTCAAAGTACGTAATACATTGCTGATTGCCGTGTACATTCACATCTGCCAGCACTATGGTAAATCCCATTAAGACATTAGTGTGTTTTTCCAGTTGATCTGATACTGATTCCTAAACGTGGGATTGAATACAACTTTGTGCTCCTTGTATATTTTCATACTCTATTCCATTTATGTGTGTTTGTGGATTGTTTTAACCTTTCACAGTTTAGCGCAAATGTTTCACAAGATCTCAGATAAGCAATCTGTAGCCTGTTTGCTTTGGGTTTACACTGGCCTTTGTGCTGATAGTTTAAATATCCCATCATGGATTTAATCAGCCCAGCCTTTCTTCTTAAGGATGTTAAGTGCATTCAAACACAGTGTAGCTGACCACCTAATAAGTCAATTTTAAGGGAGACAGGTGAATGCTATGTTTTATTTGACTAGCACACACTGGCAAAGTTGTGTCTAGAGAATTGCTTTCTAAGTGCCTTATTCGTTTCAACCCACAAGGCTTAAATAGCGACGTCCTCAAGTAAAGTGAGAAGCGTCACGTAACTGAACTGTAATCAAAACAGCGCATTCAGATAAATAATTTTCAAGGCCTTACGAGAAAAAGGACATCTCACAATATCCTAAAAGATGACAGTAAGAATTTTAGAATGAACTGAAATTACATAGAAATATGAAAAGAAACCGCTCCACTTTTAAGACTTGCCATGTGAAAGATGGTATTTTCCTGCTCATTTTTCTTTCAAAGACGTTTCATGCAACAACAATTTCTTTGAACAATGAAACACGTATTTGTTATATGTTCAGTTAAAAAAAGAAGCTTGTTTTACATAGTTTTAAATATGCTTCTTTTCCGGGGCAGGCACCGTATGCACAAACCAGGTACAGAGGCATGCCACATACTTGCATTGCTCTTGCATTCTACTATTGGCATCTGTGATGTCATTGAAGCAGCAAGCTGGTGGGTAGTCCTATTATTTGGTTGACCCCGCCCATCTCACATTCTAAGCCATGCCCACAACTCTCCACACTGCTACTGTGACATCACAGAGGGAGGGAAGTATGGAGGATAGCATAAGCTAGAATGGGAAAAAGGCAGCGCAACAAGACTCCGTGGCGCATGCAGAGATGGGGGTGGGGACGTAAGGGAGGGAGAGGTCTGGCCCAGGGTTGCAGTCAGATATTCGGATGGGGGTGGGGTTAAAGTCGAGGAAAACTGACAATGTTCATGTTTATTATTTTTTTGTTTTGTTTTTGTTTTTTGCACTACATGTTACTTCTATGTATTTTAAATCACATTTAGTTTCTTAACTTTATACAACATTATGTCACAGATGAAGCTCATTGTGGTTTGTATCTCTCCCTGTGCTGGTCTGTGATAGGAGGGTAGAGACAGAGAGAGATTATGGGTATGTCATAATATATGTATTCAAACATTTTACATATACATATTGAATAGTTGCAGAATATAAAGCCTTATATATTGTGTACTTATACAGACATTTTTTGTATATATATATTTATCCAAATTTAGATTTGTGCTCGGATTAATTTCTGTTTTATCATAATATTTCTGCTTTTATGCCACCCAAGTTTAATTTGAATACAATTGGAGTCTGATTGTTTTTGCTTTGTTTGTATTTTAGATATGCATCGGAGGAGCAATATCAGACTGGGAAGCATGACCACAATTCAGCAATTTTGTAGTAAGTATTTTTCCCCAAACCTGAATCGTGAAATTATCCACAAAGTGTAAAGGTTTAATCAAGTCATTATTAAAGCTTCATCAAATCAGTACACAAATAGATATGTGCTAAAATCGGATCAATTATGTGATACAGATTATCACAGTATATGAAATGTGTGTACTCTTATAATCAGATTTCAAGTGATTTTTTTTTGTGTAGATTTTAGATTTCAAGTGACTTTTTTTGTAGCACTTATAGCTGTAAACGTGAATTTCACTGACTGTAACTGTAATGTCAGCCGAATTAAGTGCAGAGAAACATTTTGTTCCCTATTTTTTTTCTTTAACATGATGAACATTCATGTTTTTCTAGTAATTTCTGACCTTTGTTGATACTGTGGCACAGCACTAGGAACCTTCTCAAAACAAATAAAGATTATATTGCAAAGTTGTTATCGTAACCTTTTAAACAAGGGGTGCTTAGGGATATAAATCACTGGCTTTATAATAATCACATTTCTATCTCTTTTTGTTCATCAGTTTGACACAGTTAAAAATTCTGTGCTTTGGACTAAAAATTACAATTCGATGGACTGTTTGACTCCACCAGACTGCTGCTGTTGCAAGTTTCAAGCGTACTTCCTCAGGAGGAAGGTGGCATCAGAAAAGGTGGATCAAACTTTACTACCTCCTTCCCTCCAGTTCCAGTGTCCACTGGATCATGAACTGTGTTGATAGTGGTCTGTGCTACTCTGTGGCTCGGGCTATAGAATGGAGGCAGAGGCCGAATTTAGCTGCCTTGATTTATGTGTTTTAAAGGGATAGTTTAAAAACCCAAAAATGAGGGACACCCAAAAATGAAAATTCTGTCATTAATTACTCACCCTCATGTCGTTTCAAACCCGTAAGACCTTCGTTCATCTTCAGAACACAAATTAAGATATTTTTTATGGAATCTGAGAGCTGTCTGACCCTGCATAGACAGCAATACAACTGAAATGTTCCCAAGTGCAGAGACGTAGCAAGGAGATCTGTAAAATAATTGATGTGACATCAGGGGTTCAACCATAGTTTTACGAAGCTACGAGAATATTTTTTATGCGCAAAAGGAAAAAAGACTACTTTATTCAACAATTTGTCTCCTCCGCATTACTGTAGCGCCATTTTGGAGAGTATCAGCTGGATGTAAACAGCGTATGCTGTTCTGTGTCAGCTGTGTCATGCCGGATCTGTTTCCTATGTTGTTGTGATTTGATCTGAACGAAAACAGCATATCCAGGTTACACAGCTGACACAGAACAGCATACGCTGTTTACGTCTTGGGAACATTTCAGTTGCGTTGCTGTCTGTGCAGGGTCAGACAGCTCTCAGATTCCATCAAAAATATCTTAATTTGTGTTCTGAAGATGAACGAAGGTCTTACGGGTTTGAAATGACACGAGGGTGAGTAATTAATGACATAATTTTCATTTTTGGGTGAACTAACCCTTTAAGGGAGAATCTATCACAGCGAACACATTTACATTTATATTCAATTAAGATCAAATCATTGGTGCTATTCATTTGTTCATGGTGTTTCAGGGCAAGATGACCATGAGAAGAAAGAATAAGAGGAGAAACATCCAGTGTGGTCAAAGAAAGGAAACGTTCTGCTAAACCCCCTCAAAAACAATGATCATGAAAATAAGAATAAAAATGAAAATGAATCAAAATAAAGGTTGTAGGAACATAATATGACTTTTAAAAAAAGCCCAAAACATAAATAAATAGGTAGAAGAAGAGGACCGGTCAGTGGGTGGTTCAGGGTCATTGCCGGCATTGTCGTTTATATTCTTATCTTCTGCGCTCATGTTAACTCTCTGTCTCTCACTCTTCATGAAGCTGCAATCGGTACCGGCTGTAGCGAATCTGGAAGAAGAGCCTCTCCAGCAGTGAACGGGTCATCCCTGGTAGCGTGTAGTCCTCAGTGTCTCCCACTCGCCGGAAACCCAACGACTCGTACAGCTTGTGGGCGGCCATCTTGACTGCAGTTGTTCCCAGAACCACAGCCGAGTAGTTGTTTAACATGGCAAATTCTAGAACACGTCGACCCAGAGCCTTGGCGATGCCTTTACCACGGAAGTGAGAGTCCACTGACATGCGACGGAGTTCCACTGTGTTGTCGTCTTCTCGGCCTTGCGCTGCCACGATGCCCACAACCTGGCCTTGCAAAACTGCCACCCAGAAACAAGAGCCTGTGGAAATCAAAACAAAGAGATTATTCAGTTTTGTCTTTAGAGTAAAACTTTGGCAACTATTTGTAAAATCTAGTTTTCAATTCAAGTGTCTTGATGAAAAACTTAAAGAGTCTGCCCTCCAGGGTCATGCCTCTTTCCATCTGAATGTAATATTCATCATAGTATGGGCTGCTTTTCAACACCTCTCATCATTAGATCAATCAAATCAAATCTTTCAGTTCTAGACTAATTGAAATCCATTCATCTTACATTATATAGAAAATCAATGATTCCGTTTTTAATAAGATTGGCAAAGTAGCCGATGAGAGGTTATTCAAGCAGCGACCATGCTAATGTTCAATAAATGTGCTGCACTGAAATAATAAAGTGGAGGTAAATAGTTAAGCAAAGTTATACTCTTTTCAAGTATATATTTTATTTTTATTTGTTTGGCACCACATGATCAACCTTATACATTTTTTTAACTCTGAAAATTAAGTTATGTTCATCTGGAGATATATAGTGATGTTGCATTAGTGTGAGTGCAGCTTACAAATAGACTGAGTTCTGAAATGCGAAACCACATTTAAGCACACTGTGTAGCAGTCTGTAATTATGGATCATGCCAGTCAAATTCGATTCCAATTGCCCGGAATTACAGATGCCCAAATGTGCTGGATGTAAACAGCGTATGCTGTTCTGTGTCAGCTGTGTCATGCCGGATCTGTTTCCTATGTTGTTGTGATTTGATCTGAACGAAAACAGCGTATCCAGGTTACACAGCTGACACAGAACAGCATACGCTGTTTACGTCTTGGGAACATTTCAGTTGTATTGCTGTCTATGCAGGGTCAGACAGCTCTCAGATTCCATCAAAAATATCTTAATTTGTGTTCTGAAGATGAACGAAGGTCTTACGGGTTTGAAACGACACGAGGGTGAGTAATTAATGACATAATTTTCATTTTTGGTTACACAGCTGACACAGAACAGCATACGCTGTTTACGTCTTGGGAACATTTCAGTTGTATTGCTGTCTATGCAGGGTCAGACAGCTCTCAGATTCCATCAAAAATATCTTAATTTGTGTTCTGAAGATGAACGAAGGTCTTACGGGTTTGAAATGACACGAGGGTGAGTAATTAATGACATAATTTTCATTTTTGGGTGAACTAACCCTTTAAGGGAGAATCTATCACAGCGAACACATTTACATTTATATTCAATTAAGATCAAATCATTGGTGCTATTCATTTGTTCATGGTGTTTCAGGGCAAGATGACCATGAGAAGAAAGAATAAGAGGAGAAACATCCAGTGTGGTCAAAGAAAGGAAACGTTCTGCTAAACCCCCTCAAAAACAATGATCATGAAAATAAGAATAAAAATGAAAATGAATCAAAATAAAGGTTGTAGGAACATAATATGACTTTTAAAAAAAGCCCAAAACATAAATAAATAGGTAGAAGAAGAGGACCGGTCAGTGGGTGGTTCAGGGTCATTGCCGGCATTGTCGTTTATATTCTTATCTTCTGCGCTCATGTTAACTCTCTGTCTCTCACTCTTCATGAAGCTGCAATCGGTACCGGCTGTAGCGAATCTGGAAGAAGAGCCTCTCCAGCAGTGAACGGGTCATCCCTGGTAGCGTGTAGTCCTCAGTGTCTCCCACTCGCCGGAAACCCAACGACTCGTACAGCTTGTGGGCGGCCATCTTGACTGCAGTTGTTCCCAGAACCACAGCCGAGTAGTTGTTTAACATGGCAAATTCTAGAACACGTCGACCCAGAGCCTTGGCGATGCCTTTACCACGGAAGTGAGAGTCCACTGACATGCGACGGAGTTCCACTGTGTTGTCGTCTTCTCGGCCTTGCGCTGCCACGATGCCCACAACCTGGCCTTGCAAAACTGCCACCCAGAAACAAGAGCCTGTGGAAATCAAAACAAAGAGATTATTCAGTTTTGTCTTTAGAGTAAAACTTTGGCAACTATTTGTAAAATCTAGTTTTCAATTCAAGTGTCTTGATGAAAAACTTAAAGAGTCTGCCCTCCAGGGTCATGCCTCTTTCCATCTGAATGTAATATTCATCATAGTATGGGCTGCTTTTCAACACCTCTCATCATTAGATCAATCAAATCAAATCTTTCAGTTCTAGACTAATTGAAATCCATTCATCTTACATTATATAGAAAATCAATGATTCCGTTTTTAATAAGATTGGCAAAGTAGCCGATGAGAGGTTATTCAAGCAGCGACCATGCTAATGTTCAATAAATGTGCTGCACTGAAATAATAAAGTGGAGGTAAATAGTTAAGCAAAGTTATACTCTTTTCAAGTATATATTTTATTTTTATTTGTTTGGCACCACATGATCAACCTTATACATTTTTTTAACTCTGAAAATTAAGTTATGTTCATCTGGAGATATATAGTGATGTTGCATTAGTGTGAGTGCAGCTTACAAATAGACTGAGTTCTGAAATGCGAAACCACATTTAAGCACACTGTGTAGCAGTCTGTAATTATGGATCATGCCAGTCAAATTCGATTCCAATTGCCCGGAATTACAGATGCCCAAATGTGCTGTTAATAGAATATAACAGATGGGAGAGATATTTATGATTAGTTCATTGTTAGTTTCACATATTTAGCTTATTCATCTTTTAATGATTGTGCAATGGAAAGCCTGTCATAACAATTTTTTTTTTTTTTTTTTTTTACAATGTTTTGTTGTAGGAAGAGTAATAAAATATGTGTGCCATCAAAGGTATTGAAATGTATTGGTGAGTCCCATGATTGACATAATTTGTTTTTACATGCTCAAATGCTGTTACCACTGATGACTTGCCTTAATAATTCTCAGAATTCCATGACTTGGGGGAATTTGGGAAGTGTTTTTGGAATTACTGGATTAAGTGCACTTTTTCTTGTTGGGCAAGTCAACTGTCATCTGTAGGTCAGATCAGGACAGGAGCGGAGCACATATTATGGTATTTCTAATCTTAAACATTCATGCTTGTAAGGCTCGGTTCTGTTCTGCTGAACTAACTAAGTTACTTATGGAGTTGCAGAGAGAAGCGAGGGGCAGGACTGTCACATCTGTGCCACAGAAGCTGCAAGGAATATATACAAAAGGACGGGACTAAACTCCAAGAAAAAACATGTATAAAGGAATGTCTGAATGGATGAGTTTTAAATGAATATTATTATCTTCTATCATGCATACTAATTGTTTTTTTGTTAAGAATCACGTTTATAACCTAAGGTCTATTAACTCTTTTCTATCTCATGGTTCAACACATTCTTAAGCATCTAGACAACACTATCTTCTAAAATCAGAAAACTATTTATTCTGTGTGTAGAATAAAGTGTCATAAAGAGAATTCATTGAACATCAACTACAATCACAACATACAATATATAATACTGCATAAGTGTAATATTTATGTAGAAGTAGTTGCAGTCTTTCTACGTTAAGATAGTAGTGCTGAGAATATCATAGTGCCAATGTTGTGACATATTGCTACTGTATATCACACAGAGGTGTGTGTGTCATAACTGCATTAGCTTCAGGGCTGAGGAGCACTATTAATCACTGTGAGACTAAACGTCCTGCTGTACACTCATTAGTTTTACTACACACACACATTTGCACAACCCCTCCCCAGCTGTCTGATAAATGCTTCTCTTGAATATGTGCAAGGCCACTAAAATGTAGAAAAATTAGGCAATAATATTGAACAACTTTTTATGATCATTATTTACATTATTTCCTGCTGAATAGGCAGATTCACATCACATTAAGGAAATTAAATGTGCCACAAACACCATTTCATTATGACATTAATGCCTTGCGGGTAGCATAACACATCTGCCTGTGTATTTTCACATATTAAAGCGATATCTTCATGCTTTATATTATGGGATGTTTGTTATCTTCCAAGTACCTGACAGAAACTCTCTCCCTGGAATGTTATAAGCCACTCCAAATAGATGTTTAGTGCATTTAAGAAACATCTAGCTCACCTTGGCAGATAACCCATATATTATTTTACCATTTCCTCCTCAGATGCAGGATTCCACATTAGCATAGCAAGAGAGAAAATAATCCTCTGTCTGCATACTGCCACTAAACAAAACTACCATACATAACTCACAGCGGGCTTTGATTCTCTCTCTTGAATTCTCCCTTTCATTTGATGTAGGACTAAATAAGAAGCCCGTATGCATAGAAATTGTCTGCAATTAATACTATTTTATGCAAAGATGCATACAATTGATGACAGTAAAGACATTTAAGGGTTTTTAAAAAGATTCATTATTTTTATTAATCTTACTAAATAATTTCAAATAAATTGTTTTTTAGCACTAATACTGTGAAATGTTATTACAATTTAAAATAACTGTTTTCTATTTTAATATATTTTACAATACAATTTATTCCAGGAATGACAACGCTGAATTTCCAGCAGCCATCACTCAGTGTAACATGATCCTACAGAAATCATTCTAATATGCCAATTTGCTTCCTAAGAAACATTTATTATTAAAGCTGAAAATGGTTGTGTTGCTTAGTATTTTTGTGGAAACAGTAATATATTGTTTTTAGGATTCTTTAATGAAGAAAGTTCATAAGAACAGCATTTATTTTAAAAAGGCATAACAACATACAAGTCTTTACTGTCACATTTGTCAATTTAATGCATCCTTGATTAATGAAAGTATTCTTTTTTTTTTTTTTTTTATCAAAATCTTACGGAACTTTATGGGAGTGTATAATTTTATGTCACTCTTACGTCATTCCCCAGGGCATGCATGATAGGCAATTCACACAGCACCATCAGACACACGCAAAGGGCAACAAACATGTTTTCCAGGTGTTGTCGGATCAGTGTGTAACCCTCGTTGACGTGTCACCATTGGTTGGCACTTGTTTTTGCCAGTTGAAGTCTAACTGAGTGACGTACTTTAATCTGGTGATGGTCGCCATTGTTTTGCCTCCTTCTGTGCAGTGTGAATTGGTTATTATGATGAACTTGCTTTACAGACCCCCATAATTTTTGATCTCTAACAGGTAAGGCCATTTTCTTGTAAACCTGTTATGTGTTATATATTTCTAATAGTGTCTGGTGACACAGCAGATCTGCCAGACTCATTCTGAGTCAGTAGTGTGCGGAAACAGACACCATACAAAGGTCCGGATCTAATATACAGTACACGTGCACTAGGGGTATAAAAGAGACCCTTTTAAACTTCTAACGTTGAATTGCAGAGAGCGTTCTGATCAGCAGCATCTGGCTGTTTGGAATGGCAGCTGTTCTGAGTTTGACCGTGAAGTGCTGCAGCGGAGTTTACCATAGGCAATAAATGTCTGTCCTTACACTAAGCATTCAATCTGCACATGCTACTACCATCTGGCAAACAATTCTAGAACACCAATCATAAACAACTAGGTTAAAGAACCCTTTCTACCTGCAAGTCGTCAGGGTACTGATGAGCCACTAGCTAACCTCCATTATTTTGTCACTTTCCAAGTGTGCTTTTAATAATATCTGCAGTATTTATTAGTATGTTTACTACTGTATCACAATTGGGGTACATTAAGGATTAAAGCTGTAATTCTGAGTTTGCCGCAATACAATAATCAGCATTTTTCCTCCCTTCAAT